ACACACACACACACACACACACACGACAGGGCAAACCGAGTTCCTAGTTCTCAGTTACAAACAGTCCCCTGGCCCCAGTTAAGAGGAAAAAAGGGAATCAGGGAGGCCAGGTACCCTGTCACCTTCCCAAGACCGCCGGACCTGCTGCCGTCCTCCTTTCCAGTCTGAGTTCGCACTTCCTGGTCACCCCTATTCATTCTATGCTTCCGCACCGCCCCTGTGACCTAGTTGACAACTATGTGGTCCCTCGGCGTGATGATTGGAGAACTGACTTGTCAATCGCTGTGGTCCAACTAAACTAGGAGGAAACGGTCGCTCTAGCCGCCAGGCGGAGCCTTTTAGGGAAGCATTGCGTGATGAAATACGGACACGCAGGTATATTTCACAAACACAAACACAGCAGAAACGCTCCTTAGGGCGGAGCCCGGGCAGGGCCAGCGGCAAGCAAAGATCCGGAACCACCGAGATAAACTCTCACTGGGTTACTGATTTATTTTAAAAATTTTTAATTTATTTTTTTCATGCGTATGAGTATTTTGCCGGAATGTATGTATGTGCACCAAGTGCCTGCTTGATGACAGCGGAGGTCAGAAGAGGTCACCAAATTCCCTGGAACTGCTGATGGTTGTGAGCGGCTACGTGGGTGTTGGGAACTGAACCCAGGCACTATGAATGAGAAGCAAGTGCTCTTAACTGTTGAGCCATCTCTCCAGTCCCTGTCATTGGTTTGAGGTTACAAGTCAGTGAATATATTAGGTGTTGTTAAAAAAATAATAAAAAATAAAAAAAAAGGCGGTGCAAGACTCGTCTAGTGGCACTTGCCTGTCATAATTCAAGGCCAAGGGTAGCTTCTGGTGGAGTTTGAGGCCAGCCAAGCCTGCTTGAAACCACAGAGAGAAGCGGAGCAGTGGTGGCCCACACCTTTACTCTGGAGGCAGAGGCAGGCAGACCTCAGAGTTCAAGTTCTAGGATAACCCAGGCCACACAAAGAAACTCCTTCAGGGACAGGGGTGAGGGCAGGGTGCTGCTGTGTCCCAGCCCCAAGCCTCAATATCCCCAGACTGTGAAAAGCAAAGACACATTCTTGAGGGAAAGACAGATGCCCCATCTCTCACAAAACTCCTCACCTGTGGGGTGGCTTGAAACAAAAACCTAGGTCTTCCTTCTGTTGTCTTTGCTGTTGTTGTTGCTGAGATTGGGTTTCACTCTGTAGCCCAGGCTAGCCGGCCTCAAACTCACAGCAGCTCTCCTCACTCAGCCATTATGCTCTAGGTCACCCACCATGCCCCCTTCCACCCTTCCCTTCCACCCTAATCCCAGTGCAACACACGCTGCCTTTCTGCATCCTGGATACACCTAGAATGCCTCCACTTCTGTCTTCCCTGCCTGGCCTGCCATGAGCCCCTGGATTGCCGCCGCCGCCGTTGCCCGTTCTTGTTTGGTGTTGTTTTGTTGTCTGGTTGGTTTGCGTGAGCCCTGTTCAGCACACAACATTTAAGGATCGCTCATTTTTCTTAAGCATATTGGAAATGTTTCTAAGATGAGTTACGGAGCCATACATGGTGGCACTTTCCTGTAACCCTGACAGGGGTTAAGCAGGTGTAGGCAGAAGAATGTGGGGTTCAAAGTCACCTTGTTTACTACTGCACTTGAAGTTCAAGATTAGCCTGGGCTATATGAGACCTTATAGGGGAGGGGAGATGTAGTTAGAAGGTTTCATAGGTCCTACCTGGCCCCCTGTGGACCTGCAGCCACTTATAAAATGATCACTCGGGTGCTTAATATTATTTATAACTGCTTGGCCATTAGCTCAGGCTTATTACTGGCTAGCTCTTACACTTAAATTAACCCATAATTCTTAACTATGTTTAGCCATGTGGCTTGAACCTGCTCACCCCGCCTATACTTCCTGCCTGGCCAATCAGTGTTTTATTAAGCCAGTGTACAAGAGTATTATCCCACTGCATTTCCCCTTTTCTGTCTAATCAAAAAGGAAGGTTTTAACTTTAATGTAGTAAAATTACATATACTAGAACAGTTAACAGGCAAGAATTATAGTTACAATATCTAGTCTATTTGGGCAAAATTAAAGAAAATATTCTATCATTTGTTATATATTTGTGAGTCTAAAGTTTCATATCTAATTTATCTTTTATCATAACCAAGGAAAATTATAACTATCTAGTCTTCAACTACATCAAAAACTCCAGAAGGATATAATATTACCTAAGTAAACAGGAAATGCATAGTAAGCAACTTCCATGTGGGGCATTTACCCACCACCCCCACAGTTCCCCAGAGTTTTCTTGAGCAATCAGCAGGAAATATTAGATAGAAGGATTTATAGCGGAGAATCTTGCGGAGATAAACAGATAGAAAATAAAGGATAGCCTCGAGAGGGCCTGGAACCTATTCCAACGGGGCCCCGACTGTCTCTGGCCCAGGGTTTTTATAGAGACGCCAAGGGGTGGAGCAAAAGACCTCCTCCCCCAGCACAGCCAAGTGCAGACCATCTCAGACCCCTGCACTCAGGCCCGTGGTCCTGATCATCCTCTATTCGGACCTGCTGGGTAAAGCCATGAGGAACCCAAGAACGGGCTCCCACACTTCCAAAAATCAAAAATGACAGAGATAGCTAGCTGCCTGGACAGTCACCCAAAGTTCCTCTACAACACACAGGCCTAGAGTTTTTTAGTGGCTTCTCCCTGTGTCCTGTAGAATGTCTGGCAGTCTCCTCTGTGAAGCAGGAACCCGAAGAATCATTTTGCTTTGCAAAGTTCAGTGGTCACCTTCCTATGGGTCCCGCTTCTCCAGTTTATATAACATATTATCAGCAGTCCAGGTAAGAGCAGTTTCTTGCCCAAATGGCTATTTTTGCCAAGAAGAAGATAAACTCCATATGGAGTGTCTTCAATGCCCATCTTTCTCTTTGAAGTAAATCAGTGCTGCCAGGAGCAGACGTGTCTCACTGTCCAGAAAGTTTTAAGTTTTTAAAACATTTTAAATGCCATATTCTGTAGGTTTTTGAAGTGTTTGAAGATTACCTATCTAATTGAAATATATCTATGTATACCTAGAAAACTTAACTAACATGACTATAAGTTTGACTACCATAGAAGACTAATTATTAATCTGTATTTCTTCATTATACATTATAATTTCAAATGAGCTGCACAAACAATACCTTAAACAAGAGTAGAAATATACATACAGTATAACAAAAATTAACTTTAAATTTGTATCAATAAACTAAAATCCATAGCAATGTAAAACATTTCATGTGTGAACTCAGACTGGAAAGGAGGACGGCAGCAGGTCCGGCGGTCTTGGGAAGGTGACAGGGTACCTGGCCTCCCTGATTCCCTTTTTTCCTCTTAACTGGGGCCAGGGGACTGTTTGTAACTCGGTTTGCCCTTTCATGCGTGTGTGTGTGTGTGTGTGTGTGTGTGTGTGTGCGTGTGCGTGTGCGTGGTTATCTAAGAGTTTGAGGAACTGGAGCTTCCTTCTTGCTGCTCCAGGGCGGGGTCCTTTTCTAAGGTGCGGTGCCCCAGGTGTCTTGGGGCTGGCGGAGAGTTTTGGTGGTTTATAGGTTCCCTCTGGCTCTGCGGATGGTTAAAGACCTCCGGTTCCTTTCCAGGCAGAGGGAAATGAGTGATGCTGAGAGTTAGTCGCCTCCAGGTGTGGCTCGGGGTAGAGAAAGCGGGAGGGGCCCTGGGAATAGAATTCCTGTGGTTTTGACCCTGGACTAGAGTAGTACTAGGGCCTGGAAAGAGGAAGGAATTATTTATTTTATTGTTTTGGTTTTTCGAGAGAGGTTTCTCTGTGTATCCCTAGCTGTCCTGGAACTCACTCCTAGACCACGCGGCCTCAAACTCACAGAGATCCACCTGCCTCTGCTTAGAGGGGAAGTGAAGGCGTGGGCCACCACACTGTAGTAGTTCTATTATTCAACAGAGGGCATCAGATTCCCCTGGGACAGGAATTGTGAGTTGCCATGTGGGATTAAACTTGGGTCTTCTGGGAGAGCAACTGTTGCTCTTAACTGCTGGGCCATCACTCCAGCCTCCGTAAACACTTTCCATGGCTGGAAACCTTTCATCATTATTTAAAAGCTATTCAACTTCACACACCATCTGAACTTTTCCAGTCTAGTTTCCTCCTGTGTACAGGGGCCAAGAGAACTGCCATGGAAAACAGAAGCAGACGGAGCAGAGGCGTGGTATAATGAGATTTTAAAGATTATCCTGAAAGGGACTGGCAAGATGGCCTAGCAGGTAAAGGCACGTACTGCCAAGCCAGACAACCTCAGTCCAATCGCCAGGACCCACAGGATTGGAGAGAACAGACTCCTGGAAATTCTCCTCTGACACTCACACCTGTAATTCTAGCCCTTGAAAGGCCAAGGCAGGAGCTCAAGTGGAGGTCAACCTGGACCACTGAACCACACAGCAATCCAGGCTACAGAGTGAGATTTTTGTTTCACCATAAATAAATAGAAAACAAAGTGGTGTTTAGCTTAGGAAAGGAAAAATGGTGAAATAAAGGGATTTATCTAGCTATCCCAAAAAAGAAGGAGAAAGAAGAGAGAGGAGGAGGAGGAGAAGAAGAAGAAAAGGGAGAAGGAGAAGAAGAAAAGGGAGAAGAAGAAGAAGAAGAAGAAGAAGAAGAAGAAGAAGAAGAAGAAGAAGAAGAAGAAGAAGAAGAAGAAGAAAAGTAGGTATCGTGACCCAAGCCTGTAATCCCAGCACTGTGGAGGTAAAGGCTGAAGGATCAGGAGGAGTTCAAAGTCATCTTTGACTACACAGGGAGTCTGAGGCCACCCTGGGCTACATCATGAGACCCTGTCCATAAGTAAAATGATAAATGAATGAAGCACTTCACAACAAGGCCTGGCCCTCAGTTCTCCATTAACACCCCCCCCCCCCCGTCACCTTACCCCTTCTATACTTTTTTTTTGAGACAGGACCTTACACTTAGCCTAGGATGCCCTGTAGTGGGTACCTGTTCCACCTATGGCCTTGAAGTACCAGCCCCTAGGGTGTGGCCTTGGGGCTAGCTTAAGCTGAGGGGCACGGGGCACGTACACCTGGCCCCTTCTCTCCCATCTGGGCTTGGATGGCGCTGACTGACTCAGGCAGCATGGGACTGGACATCAACCTTCCAGGACCCTGCAAGGATTTGCCTATTCTATCTAAAGAATTGTTTTCTCTAATTTATGTTCTAATAAACTCCATATACCCCTTAAGCAGACTCCCTTGGATGTCTCACAATAATGGCCTCAATCTTGTTATGAAGCCAAGGTGACCTTGAACTTTTATTTATTTATTTGTTGTTTGTTTGTTTTTTGAGACAGAGTTTCCCTGTGTAGTTTTGGTGCCTGTCCTGGAGATCTTGAACTTTTATAAATATTTAAAATGCATTTTATTGGGTGAGGTGACTATTCTTGGTTGTCAACAACTACATCTGGAATTAACGAAAATCCATAAATGGAGGGCACACCTATGAGAGAGTTTTGCTTCATTTGAAGTAGGTAGATCCATGTCTAATCCAGATCTTGAGGTGGGAAGACACACCTTGAATCTGGGTCACACCTGCTGGAAACAGGTAAGGACATGGAAGAAGGAAGGGAGCTTTTGCTCTTTGCCTGTTTGCCCTCACCTTGCCAGCAAGTTCATTTCTTCCTGGCATTACAGCCTAGTTCTTCAGGACTCCAATGTGTACTGAAGACCAGTGGAGACATCCAGCCTTGTGGACTGAGCAACTACTAGATTCTTAGACTTTCTGTTCACAGCCAGCCATTGTTGGATTAGCTGGATGATAGCCTGTAAGTCATTCTAATAAATTCTCATTTTATATATAGATAAAGATAGATAGATAGATAGATAGATAGATAGATAGATAGATAGACAGATATGGATGGATAGATGGATGGATGGATGGATGGATGGATGGATGGATGGATGGATGGATTCATTCTATAAGTCCTGCTACAATACAGAACCGTGACTAAAAGGAAATTTTACCTTTTTTTTTTTCTTTTTCTTTTTTTTTTTTTTTTTTGAGACAGGGTTTCTCTGTGTATCCCTGGCTGTTCTGGAACTTACTCTGTAGCCCAGGCTGGCCTCAAACTCACAGAGATCCACCTGCCTCTGCCTCTACCTCCTGAGTGCTGGGATTAAAAGTGTGCGCTGCCACCACCACCTGTTGGAAATTTTACTCTCAATGTATAGAATCTGAAGGAAAACTCGTATATTTTCAAAGAGGCCCTTTTGAAAATATATGGAATGCTTCACAAATTCGTGTGTCATCCTTGCACAAAGACCATGGTGACCTCGGTATCACTGTAATTTTAGTATAGGTGTTGCTGAAGCAATTATATGTGCTCTTTGTGTGTCTGTTTGTATGGTGGTGCCTGGCATGGTGGTTCACACCTTTAATCCTAGCACTTGAGAGAGAGAGGCAGTGGACTTCTGTAAGTTCAAGGTCAACTTGGTCTACAAAGTGAGTTCCAGGCCAGCCATAGTGAGACCTTGTCTAATACATATGTGTGTATGTATGTGTGTATGTATGTAATATTATATATGTGTGTGTATATATGTATACATGCTGTGGATATTGCTCTATATATAAATAAAACACTGATGGCCAGTGACCAGGCAGGAAGTAGGTTGCCAGGCAGGAAGTAGGTGGGACAAGGAGAGAGGAGAATTCAGGGAAGCGGAAGGCTGAGGGGAGAGACTGCAGCCACCGCCAGGACAAGCAGCATGTGAAGACGCCGGGAAGCCACCAGCCACGTGGCAAGGTATAGATTTATAAAAATGGGTTAATTTAAGATAAAAGAACAGTTAGCAAGAAGCCTGCCACGGCCATACAGTTTATAAGTGATATAAGTGTCTGAGTGATTATTTTATAAGTGGATTGTGGGACTGCGGGGCTTGGGGAACCTGGAGAGAAGCCCTCCAGCAACATATACATATATACACACACGCACACACATAAATGCTAGTGCCTCAAACCTGTAATCCCAATACTTGAGATACTGAGGCAGGAGGATATTTGCAAGTTTGAGAGTAGCCTGGGCTACATATTGAGTAGTAGGTCAGCCAAGGCAAGACTCTGCCTCAAAAAATAAATAATAAATAAAGGGCTAAAGAGATGGCTTAGGGGCTTAGAACAATTACTGCTTTCACAAAGGATCTGTTCTGTTCCTAGCATCCACACGGTGCCTCACAACTAACTACCTGTAACTCCAGTCCCAGGGGATCTGATGCCCTCTTCTGGCCTCCAACGGCTCCTGCATGCATGTGGTGCATATAAACTCACAGACACACATACTACAAATAAAGAGATCTTAAAATAAATAAATAAGCTGGGTGGTGGTGGCACATACCTTTAATCCCAGCACTCAGGAGGCAGAGGCAGGTGGATCTCTGAGTTGGGGGCCAGCCTGGTCTACAGAATGAGTTCCAGGACAACCAGGACTATTACATAGAGAAACCCTGTCTCGAAAAACCAAAGAATACATACATACATACATACATGCATACATACATACACATTAGTGAAAAAGAAGAAAAAAAAAGGAGACAAGCCCAAGGCCAACAGTGGGAAATCTTTACTCTCTTTCCTGAGCATATGTACCCCATGGGTATAAGCCCACAGAGAATGACAGCAACAGGCATGTGATCGCCACGTGTATGTTAGCTGTATAGAGTTCACACCAGCTGCTCGTTTATACACGAACACTGGTACTGACAGGCTGAGCACCGAGGTAGCAGGAGCCCTGCTGAGGCCTGCAGGGGACAGTGGGAGAGGCAGTTGCTGACGGACAGTTTTCTGGGCAGAGAGGGGTGCAGGCCTGTGGACAGCTCTCTGGGAAGGAGGAAGCCAGCTGAGGGTCAGCCAGGGCTGCCAGGCGCTGCTGCACACACTCAGCCGTTAGCCGTGCTTCTGGGTCTGCATCCCAGCAGTCTTCCAGGAGCTCCTTCAGCCCCCCGGGGTCCTGGAGGGAAGAGGAACGGCAGAGCTGACCCACCCCAGAGTGGACGTCTTCAGTGTTCACTTCTCCCACCTCTCACCCGCCTCACTGGGCACAGAGGCCCTGCCAAGCTCCACCACCCCGACTCCACACTGCACTTGTGGAGCACCCCCAGGCCCATCCCCCAAAGTCCAGGCCCAAGAGGTTTGTTCCCTATGACAGAATCCCTGGACACCTTCCAAAGGGTCTACCTTTTCCTCTGAGGATAATTCAGGCTGACAACTTACACGCTAATGGAAAGTTACTCTCCTCCCTCTCAGTCAACCAGTGTGGCTTCCGTTGGCTAACCCAACAGACATCTGTAGGATAGAAATTTCAGGCAGGACAGCAGGAGAAAGGGCATCTCAGGAAATCATTTGTGAAGAGCCCTGCACTTCCACTGTCAGGCAACTCTTCTGACCTTGTTACACCTAGAACCTTGTTATACCTAGAACCTTGTTGTTATACCTAGAACCTTGTTATACCTAGAACTGGCTTTAATTGGTCCACAGCAGAAACACAGCTGTATAGTACAAAATGACTGGGCACTGGATTGAATTTGGGGGCCCATGGTACTGGAAGAGGCACTGTCACGGGGCAGAGCTCCAAGTGGGAGAAAAGCCAGAGAGGACTTCCCGGAGGGGGACACGGAACAAAGAGCTGACTGGGGGAGTGAAGGGGTAGGTAGGCCTGTGTCTCGGGAAAGGAAAGGTAAACTGAGGGCAAGTACAGGAGTAGAAGGGTCTGGTTGTAGCAGGCAAGTCCTTGAAATCCATACCCAGCCCCCTCCCCTGGTCCCCAGCTGGGGAGCCTGTGGCCTCTTACTGTGGCAGAGTCGCTCCAGGTGGACGGGATGTTGGGGCGCCTCCTCTCCTCTACTGCCAAGGCCCAGAGCTCACAGGCACTGGGATTGCTGCCCAGTTCTGCCTCATAGGCCAACTGAAAAGGTGGTGGTCTGCGGTCTGGGAAAAGGATAGGCACTATGTCAACCTGCCCTGGTTAGGGGGCTCCCAGGTAGAAAAACTAGGGACGGTCATAGCCTTCTACAGTCAGGCCAGGGGGGAGGTCAGCCTTCGGCAGGTGGGACACTGCGGGTGGAGACTTTACCAGGCCTCAGATCTGAACAGCGGCTGAGGATCTCCCACAGGAGCAGAGCCAGGGAGTAAATATCTGCTCTCTGGAGGGCTGTGCCCCAGTCCTGTAGGTCTAGAGTCTTGTCCAAGAGCTCTGGAGCCATGTACCTCTGGGTGCCGGCCTGGAGGATAAGATGTGGAATGCCAAGAATTACCTCTATGGAAACTGGCCCTACAGCTCTGAGCTCGGGCCCACGGTTCCCCCAATTACAGACTCAGCCACGTCCCACCGACTGGCAAAGCTGCGCTGTTACCACAGCAATGGTTGTGTGCTCATCGGCACCACCATCATCTCAGGCCTCACACTTACCAAAAAACACTCACCTCCAAAATGGCAGCTGGGCCTCGGGGTTGGGTGGGTGCTGAGGCCGGGGTCCGAGCAAGGCCAGGGAGCACCAAGGCAAGGCCCAGGTCCCCAATGGCACATGACCTGTCTTCCCGAATGAGCACATTCTGGCTGCTCAGGTCTCGGTGAGCAATGCCTGGTTTATATTGGCCTGTGGGGAAATCCAAGGCTTGAGGAACACAGGTCTTCTAGTTTCCCTTGACGCTGTCCTGACTGCCCTGCCTCCCTGTTGCCAGCTCCAGCACTCACCATCCCGCCAGCGCTCTTCATGGAGGAACGCCAGGCCCTCGGCCAGGGACAGAGCCATCCTCAGGGAACTCCCCCAATCGCTGGTATATTGCGTCAAGTAGTGACGCAGGGAGCCCTGCAGAAAAGCCAAGGAGAGCAGAGCACAGGGAACTAGGGGAAGATCACCCCCGGGAGGCAGAGATCTACTCACGGACCCCCCACGCACCAGCCCGCGCCTCCCCAGCAGACAGACACCCTGACAGAACCAGGTCAGGACACTGCAGACAGCGGAGGCATGAGAGTACGCATCAGTCAAAGTGACAAGGAAAAATAGAGCAACTCTAGCAGCGTGTGATACTACTGTACGCCTGCCGTGCCAGCGCCTGGGAAGTAGAAGGAGGATCAGAGAGAAGCCAGTCTGGGTTACAGGAGAGCCTGCCCGAAAGCACACAAGGACACACACACACACACACACACACACACAAAATAATAATTTTAGCCAGACATGGTAGCGTGTGCATGTAATCTCAGCACTCAAGAGGCTGAAGCAGGAAGCTCCTACATTTAAGGCCCAATAGGGGGGCCGGGGGTGTGTGGCCTAATTCAGGGGTACTGAATACTTACTATGGCACGGGTCCTTCGAACAGGGTTTTCTATAGTCCTCGTGAGGACCCCGGCGCAAAGGAATTCTGATCACCCTGATTTTTGTGGATATTTTTTTCTTTTTTCCTCTCTTTCTCGCCTTTCTTTAAAATACAAGGACACTTTCTTATTTGCGTGTGGTGTATGTGTCTGTACGTGGGCACCCACATGCTACATGCCGAGGGGGTGGAAGACAAGGTCCTGAAGTTGGTTCTCTCCTCTCACCATGTGGGTTCCAGGGATTGAACTCGGGTCTTCAGGTTTGGTGGAAGCGCCTTTACCCACGGAACCATCCGGAAGGACCTTCTACCTTCTTCCCCTCGGTCCCTCCCAGCCAGCCCCCACCCCTACCGGCCACTTTGTTCTTGGCAAGATCTCACTATGTATGTCTGTAACCCTGGCTGACATGGAAGTCACTATGAGGATGAGGCTGCCTGCCATCGAGCTTGCAGTGATCCTCCTGCCTCTACCTCCCGAGTGCCAGCATTACAGGCACAAACTACCACACCTGGTTAGAGTCGGAGCTTTAGAGGATGCTGAGCAAGCTTGCTTGAGGTCAAATGGTAAGACGGGGGTGGGGTAGGGGTGGGGGGTGGGGCTGGGGGGGTGGAGTTCACATGCAAGCAGTCTGACTCAGGAGTCACCGTCATGGGTGACTCAGAGGACTCAGGACAAAGGTAGTCAAGGGCGTCCCTCAAACCTCCTGCCTAGAGTATCAGGCCTGCATAGGCATGGGTGGGTAGAGCTAACGGAGGGGGAACAAGGGGACACAGGCCATTCATTGGCATGCTGAGCGTCTGCAGGTGTGCCAACGACTGTGCCCAGGCAGCTCCGTGCCTCAGGAGTGAGATTGTGACATAAACAAAGAATACAATAAAGGCCTCAATATAACAATGAACTAAATGCCATGGCTGTAAAGCAACCATGACTGCAGTGCTCATGGCAGTCGGAGGAAGTGAAGCAAACAAGAAGGAATTGTATATCTGTACATGTATTTTTGGAACAGGTTCTCTTACTAACTGGAGCTCACTCAATAGGCCAGGCTGGCCATAACAAGCCCCAGAGACCTGGCTATCTCCATCTCCTTTGTACGGTGATTACAAGCACAAACCACCATGCCAGGATTTTTCTTCTTCTTTTTCTTTTTCTTGGCATTACAGGTGTGCAACACACCTGGCTCTCTTTTGTCTTTTTCTTTCCTTTTTAACATTTATTTTACTTTCAGCCAGACATGGTGGCACACGCCTTTAATTCCAGCACTCTGGAGGCAGAGTCAGGTGGATCTCTGTGAGTTCCAGGCCAGCCTGGTCTACAGAGTGAGTTCCAGGACAGCCAGGGCTACATAGAGAGACCCTGTCTCAAAGGAACAAACAAAAATGTATTTTACTTTTGGGCTAGAGTAACTGGTCTTTTAGTGAGCCTGAGTTCAACCCAGCATCAACATCAGTCAGTTAACTGCCTATAACTCCAGCTCCAGGGGATCTGATACCTTTAATCTCTGAGAGTACCCGCATTCATTTTCACATACCCACATGCAGACAAGAACACAAACCCATAAATAAAAATAATTTTGTTTTTGTTCTTCAAGACAGGGTTTTGCCGGGTGGTGGTCAAACCTTTAGTCCCAGCACTTGAGAGGCAGAAGCAGATGGATCTCTGTGAGTTCCAGGCCAGCCTGGTTTATGAAGCGAGTTCCAGGACAGCCAGGACTATACAGAGAAAACCTATTTCAAAAAACAAACAAAAAAGACAGGGTTTCTCTGTGTAGCCCTGACTGTTCTGGAACTTGCTCTGTAGACCAGCATGATCTCGAACTCAGAAATCCACCTGCCTCTGCCTCCCAAGTGCTAGGATTAAAGTCATGAGCCACCACGGCCTGGCTAGAAATAAACAAAAAATAAAAATAAAAAATAAAAAAAGGGAACTTTCCAGACCTCAAGGACTCAACAATGAGTTGTAAAGGTTGATAAAATCTGGGGGGAAATCGCTGGATTTAAGCGCTGTAGCAGGTTAGGAGCTGAAGTACAATTAGGGCAAAGGAGTGGGGAGGGGTCTCACCTAAAGAGACAGACAGACGGACAGTGCTGATAGGGGATAAACAAGACAGTAGCTGCGGTGAGGAGCCAGACTCTCGAGTCACAGATCTTGGGCAAACGACTTTCCCTTTCTCATCTGTGGATAGTAATTTCTACCTCACAGTATGCTTGTAAAGATAAAGCATGCAAATGTGTTCAAAGTGCCTAGAGCAGTGCATAGAATTTAAAATGTCTTCCACAGGCCCAGGCTCCAGGTGCCCTCGCCTTTGCCTACCTCTTCCTCTTCACTATTTTTGGGGTTTGTTTTCTTTTGAGGGGGGCTGTTTTGTTTTTTTATTTGTTTTTGGATAGGGTCTTACTATGTAACCTTGGCTGGCCTCGAACTCATGTAGATCTACCTGCCTCTGACTCCCAGATACTGGGATTTAGGGTTGTACCACTGCACTCAGGCTTGTTTTATTTTCTTGAGTCAGAGTTTTGTAGCCCAGGCTAGCCTGGAATTCACTTCTGTCCTCCTGTTTCAGCCTTCCAAGTGCTGGGACAGCAGTCAAGCACCACTACCTCCAGCTTTCTTGTCTTCACACTGTTTGTTTCCTACCTCAGGCCACACACATCCTCTCTTCTTATTAAAATAAAAAGTCTAAGGGACTGGAGCAATGGCTCAGCAGACGCACTGCCTGCCCTTCCAGAGGACTGGGGTTTAATTCCCAGTACCCACACAGCAGCTCATCTGAAACTCCAGCCCCAGGATCCAGTGCCCTTGCCTGGCTTTCACAGGCACCAGGCATGCACTTGTATACAGACATACATGCAGGCAAAACACCTGTATACATATTTTTTATTGTTAGTATTATTATCTTTGGGAGCACAGGCCTTGCTGCATATGTGGAGGTCAGAGGACAACTTGGTGGGGTGGGGACTGAACTCAGGTCCCCAAGGCTTGCACAGCAAGAATCTTTACAGCTGAGCCATCGCACCGTCCCCTCGGGTAACGTCGGATTATTATTTCTTTATTTATTATTTTTTTTAAAGATTTATTTATTTATTATGTATACAGTGAGTGCTCTGCCTGCAGGCCAGAAGAGGGCACCAGATCTCATTGTAGATGGTTGTGAGCCACAATGTGGTTGCTGGGAATTGAACTCAGGACCTCTGGAAGGACAGCCAGTGCTCTTAACCTCTGAGCCATCCCTCCAGCCCCGGATTATTATTTCTTATCGTATCCAACGCCCTGTCATTTCACTCTTAGCACACTTGACATTCAGTACTTCTTTTTGTGTTTACCCGTGTCTGAGACCCATTCGTTAGTCTATAAAGTCTGTGAAATCAGGGACCATGTGTGCTTTTCCAGCATGTAGCAGTGCTTGCCATATTGTTTATAAATATTGGTTAAAGGAACAGATGAACGAATTGGACAGCTATGCCTGGATACGTATTGAACAATGGCTCACTTCCAGCTGGGTGGTGGTGGTGCACACCTTTAGTCCCAGCACTCAGGAGGCAGAGGATCAGGGAGATCTTCGTAAGTTTGAGGCCAGCCTGCTCTACAGAGTAAGTTCCAGGACAGCCAGGGACACACAGAGAAACTGTCTCAAAAAGCCACACACACACACACACACACACACACACACACACACACACACACAAAAAAAAAAAAAAGAAAAAAGAAAAAAAGAAAAAAAAAAGAAAGAAAGAAGGAAAAAGAAAAAGAAAAGAAAGAAAGAAAAAATGCTCTAAGGAAAGCATGAAGCAGGAGAGTAGGCATGGGTGAGGTCACTATTACACAGCACCTCCATGAGCACACACATAGGCATAGTACACATTATGGGCATTTCTTGGTGCTCACCTTAGGGTACAGTTCCAGTACCAGTAAAGGCACAGAGGGCAGGGGGCCAGGGCCCCCCTGGCCAGCAGTGATAAAGCGCACAATGTGATCGTGCTGCAGGCCGGGCAGCTGGTACACAGCTCTCTCAGCTCGGAACTGGGCCACAGCCCTTGGGGGAAAGGCCTTGATGGCTACCATCTCACCCTGCAGCCTCCCGGCCCACACGACTGCGTGACCTCCTTCTTGGATGACCTGGCGGAAACACTGCACTGAGTGTGAACCTCTGAGCTGGCCTCAGAGCCAGGCTTCCTTCCCGGCGGAACCTCCAGGAGGAGTACTGGAGGAGCCCACCCTCCTTCCCTGAAGCACCTGGGAGAAGCATAGCCCAGCCAGCTCCGGCAGGTCCTCGCTGCAGTCACCTCCTGAGTCTGGCTCCGGGTCTGACCCACTATGCACTCCGCAGGACTTTCGCTGTAGCAGGGCTGAAGCAGAGAAGAACCTTGGGGCAAGGCGCACAGGATGGAGGCAGCCAGGGGCCTATGTGGGGATCCCAGAACTGGGGAGGTCAACAGAGCCTAGAGTAGGCTTGGGGCTTTGGGGAAGCATCTTGCTATCACAAGCGAGGGGTGGGAGAGATTAGTACCCAAGATGATGCTGCCCAGCAGCAGCACAAGGAACATCCCCAGCAGCAGCAGTGCCATCCAGATGGGCCCACCTGGACAGCAAGGCAAGAAGACATGTGGGTGAGCACTGAGCCTCTCCCCTCTTCCAAGAGATTCTTTCCAAACCACCCCCATGCTGGTCACAAGCCCCCTTATCTCCCAGTCACCAGGGCAACCAACTTCCCAAGGCCAAGAGGAGGAAAACTTTGGGTGGGGGTGGGCTGAGAACTGGCCCTGGTTCTCATCCTGACCTATGCCCCTGCCCCCTCTGGGCTCTAGTATCCTGGAGAGGGCAACTACCTGGGGTGGGCTGGGGGTCCTGGGGGCCAGGAGCCCCTTGGTTCCCTGAAGGAGGCAGAAGGCTGTAATTGGCATTGCAGAAATCCGTGCTGCAGGAGCATGTGAAGAGAGTGGAGCCGGGGCTTGGGTGGGCTCGGGGGACTGGGTCACAGTGCAGGGACTCACAGCCTGGCTCGTCACTGTCCCGGCATCCTGAGAGGATGGGTCAGGGGAAGGAGAGAAGGGAGAGAGAGAGCAATGAGGTTTGGGGGCCGAGAACAATCCCTTCTCTGTCAAAGGCATCCCTTGCATCTGACATGCTTTTTTCTCCTCTACACATTCCACTTCTCCCTCTCCCTCTTGGCTGTCTCCCTGGACATGCCTCTGCCCCACCCTAGCTCTCCCCCACCACGGATTTTGCCATTCACCTTGCATCTCCACGTGTGCCCGGCCATGGGTCAGATTCCAGATGGCAAAGCAGCAATGACTATAGAGGCAGCGGATGCTCTTGAGGGGGCCTGGTCTTGTATCCAGCACTTCCCCCAGTGTCTTTGTGCTTCCCCGAACTCCAGGAGCCTCAAAGAACACACAGGTCCTCCTGTCTGGGGACACTGAAGTCCACGATGAAGAAAGGGGAGTCAAGAAGGGGCAGGTGAAGGCAGGACACACAGCAGCCGAAAGGAGTAACAAACTACGATGCCAGGGTCAGTATGGCAGAGGCACAGGGTCAGGAGAGGTCTGAGGTCTGATCCCCACCCTGGGAACACATGGCTCTGCCCTTCATCTTCATTCATCCGGCCCACTCACCTCTTCTTCCTCTTCCAAATGGGTAGCTGCTGCTTCAGGTTTGCCTTTTCCCTTACTGGGCACTGCAAAGACCTGTCTGCAGACACTTACCTTGTGCAACCGCAGGAAGCAGTGTCCAGAGCCCCAGTGTCCCCAGCATCCTGCTAAAGGATGGCAGCAGGACGGCATAAACCATCACAGCCAGCCCAGCCAAGGCTTCCTACAGATGATGCAGGGCACCAGGGCTTCCTACAGATGCAGGGCACCAGGGCTTCCAAGCCCTCAAGCCCCAACTCCGCCCCCTCCATCCTCTCCCAGGCTCTGTGGGGGAGAAGGCTGTTGTGGGGGAGAAAACAGAGAGAAAGGGAGGAGCAGAGAACCAATCTCATATCCTTTCTTCAACCACCTCCTCTTTTCTCTGCAGAGTGGGAGGAAGGGACCTTGGCTGCCTGGCTGAGAACCCTGTGATAACTACAAAATCTCTACCCATTGCTGACCTTGGAAGAAGGTGTGGGACCTTCAGCCTTTCTCAGACAGAGGTCAAGTGTTTAGAGCTACTCCACTATGCCCAAGATCCTTCCTAATCCATTATTGGGAGCCAGATCGGTAGCATTCTGAACAGAGGAAGATTCCACAGTCCATACTATAGTTGATCTCATTTTCCAAACTTGAGAATCAAAAAGGATATGAAAAATTTCAGAGTTTAAAAAAAAATCTCAGGCTGGGTGGTGGTGGCACACACCTTTGATCCCAGCACTCGGGAGGCAGAGGCTTACACAGAGAAACCCTGTCTCGAAAAACAAACAAGTAACAACAATAAAATCACATTGTAGGGTTGGTGAGATGGCACTGGGGTCAAAAATACTTGCCATTCTTGTAGAAGACCCAGGTTTGGTTACCAGCACCCACATGGTAGCTCACAACTGTAACTAGTTCCAGAAGACCTGACACCCTTTTCTGTCCTCCGTGGACACCAGGCATCCATGTGGTGCACAGACACACGTGCAGCCAAAACACCCAGGCAGATAAAATAACAAGAACAGCAGGTGCTCCTAACTGCTGAGCCATCTCTCCAGCCATGCAAAATAAAGCTTTAAAATTGAAAATGGTAGCCAGGCAGTGGTGGTGGCACACACCTTTAATCACAGCACTCTGGGGGCAGAGGCAGGCGGATCTCTGTGAGTTTGAGGACAGCCTGGTCTACAAAGGGAGTTCCAGGACAGCCAGAGTTGTTACACAGAGAAACCCCGCCTCAAAAAACAAAACAAAATTGAAAATTTTTAGAATTCCAGCACTCAGGAGACAGAAGCAGGTGGCTTTGAGTCTGAGGACAGCCTGGTTAGCCAGAGACTCTGTCTCAAAAAAAAAAAAATGTTAGAATGGTAATTTTGTTCTGTATTTTGCCATAATGAAGCAAGAAAACAGACAACATAGCGGAAGTGGACAGCTGCCTGGAGTACACAGGGAGCCCGAGCATCGGGAGTACAAAGTACTCATGCACACAGTCCTAAGGATTCAAACACTAAGGAAATTACCATCGAGAAGATAACTTTTTTTTTAAAGATTTATTTATTCATTATGTATACAGCATGCATGACTGCAGGCCAGAAGAGGGTACCAGATCTCATTACAGATGGTTGTGAGCCACCGTGTGGTTGCTGGGAATTGAACTCAGGACCTCTGGAAGAACAGCCAATGCTTTTAACCTCTGAGCCATCTCTCCAGCCCAGAGAAGATAACTTTTATTGAGCATCTACTATGTTATAGAGAAAAGCTAGAGGTATACACTTTTAAGTCATCTAATTTTTTTTTGCTGAGATATTATTATCTCCACTTTATAGGTAAGAAAATTCAGCACAGATGAGCTGTCCGTGATTATTCTGATGTAAAAAATAAAATTAAAAATAGAGCAGAGCTGAGATTTGAACCTAGGTATGTATGACTCCAAAGCAGGGGCTCTCTTCTCTCCATTATACAATGTTGCCTTAAAACAAATCCAAACTTCAGCAACTGGATTCCATACTGGGCATGGTGGCACAAACCTTTAATCCCAGCACTCAGGAGGCAGAGGCAGGTGGATCTCTGTGAGTTCAAGGCCAGCCAGTTCCAGGATAGTCATGGTTATACAGACTATGTCACAAAAAATAGATATGCTGTTTACAATATTTCAATATTTGAATTTGGATTGCTGAAAAGTGTGTACCAGCATAACGTCAGCAGGCTACCAACTAGGAAGGGAGAGTACAGCTCAAAATCTCACCACCAGGGGTCAGCAGACATAGGAGGAATTGGTCCCTGTCAAGAGGGCCTCCTCAGATGACTAATAATCACAGTACACTCCAGAATGTCCTAAGCTTCAATACTATAAGGTATAAAGGGAGGCCCATAGAGTGTGTAGAGGCCATGTCTGTGTAAACAAAGAGGTCTGTGGCTTGTGTTGCAATAGAGACAGGAATGCAGTACCATTTTCCCCGGAGTAGGAAACCAGTCATAAGTAATCATTTCATTTCTGCACCTGTGAGTAGCTGGCTTCAGAGAAAACTGGTGGAAGGGGACTGGTCCCCTGGTCCCTATCCCTGTGGTAGCTGACTGGAAATCTTTGCTCAGAATGACCAATCTTAGATTAGACGTGAAGGTACCAGCTCATGGAGGGCCCTTCTCCTGGGGAGCATACATGAAAGGAGACAATAGCTGCGAAACAGCAGCCAGAGAAAAGACAGGGCTAGACACAGACCCACACCCTTCCTTGGGCCCTTCTGGAAGTCTGCAGGCTGTGCTAGCAAGGTGGGGTACTGTTTAGTTCCCGGTGTCTTCCTTCACCAGCTCCCAGACCAGGTAAGTGGGCATCTGTGTAGCTGAAGAACAAATGGCATCTTTTGTCTGGAATGTCTCTGGAGACCCTTTCCTCCAGACTGGGAGCAGGGGAGGGATGCAGCAGCAAGGCCATCTCCTCGGCCAAAGTCTTGGGTCACTACTTCTTTCAAAGACAGAAATAACCCAAAAGTCAGTGATGGCTCATTCCTGTAGGCTCAGCATATGGAAGTCTGCTGCAAGTCTGAGGCCATCTTGGGCTATATTGTCAATCCCAGGCCATCACGGACCAGAGTGAGACACTGTCTCAAAGAGAAAGCTCCCCCACCAACTCCCCCGGAGAGACAGAATCTGATGCCTGAGTTGGAATCCCAGGCACTAACAGAGAAAACAGTGTGTGGCTGTGAACACACAGAACCTAGGCTTATTGGGTAAGGGTGCTTACTGCTTTTATAGAGGATCCCAGTTCAGTTTCCAGTTCACAAACACCTGTAACTATAGCTCCAAAGGAGCCAACACTTTATTCTGGCCTCCTTAGACACCTGCATGCCTGTGCATGCACACACAATATACATGTGCGTGCGTGCGCGTGTGTTTGTGTAAAGAGTCTGGGCTGGTGACACAGGCCTGTAATTTCAGTTACTTGGCTGAAGCAGGAGGATTACAACCTCAAGGTCTGCTGGGATACAGAGAGTTCAAGGCCATCCTATATAATTTAGGGGAAATAAAACTAGATACAGGGGCACACACCTTTGATTCCAGCACTCAGGAGGCAGGCAGAGGCAGGGGAAATCTCTGTGAGTTCGAGACCAGCCTGGTGTACAGAGATCCAGGACAGGCTCCAAAGCTACAAGAAACCCTGTCTCCAAAAACCAAAACCAAAACCAAACAAAAAAGAAAGGAAAGAGAGAACACAAAGGGTTATTTCCCCTTTATCTATAGAACACTTAGATAAAACTGTCCAGCATAGAGGCTTTCAGGTCAAAAGAAAAGTTCAGGTTGAAGATGTGCAAGCATGACTTTTAAATCTGCAGCATGCATGTAAAAAGCTGAACATGGCTGTTTGCATCTGTAATCCCAGCACTGTGGGAGCTCCACTTCCTCAGGCAGAATCTGGAAGCTCACTGGCCCTGCACAACTGAAATGGTAAGCTTCTGGGTCAGTGGGAGACCCTTTTATTTTTAATGATTTACTTATTATATATGCATTGGTGTTTTGTCTAGATGGCCTGTGTTAGGTTGTGAGATCCCCTGTAACTGGAGTTACAGACAATTGAGAGCTGCCATGTGGGTGCTGGGAATTCAACCTGGGTCTGCTGGAGGAGCAGCAGTGTTTTTAACTGCCGAGCCATCTCTCCAGCTTTGTGAGATTCTTTCCTAAGAGAATAAGGCAGTGTGATAGAGAAAGATATCTGATGTCCTCCTGTGTTCTCAACATCCTTGTGCATGTATACTCCCCCCCCCTACACACAAAATATTTGGGGGTCATCAGTATGTACGAAATAGCTAATGAGCATTCAGGTATGGTGGCACACACCAGTAACCCCAGGATTTAGGAGGCACAGGCAGTAAGGGTGTGTTTACCTGTGGAGGTGTGTGGGTGGGTGGGGGAGACAGATGGAAGGGGCCTAAGATGGAACACAATGCTTAAGTGTCAAAGTAATGTCTCTGATGGAGCCTAGAAAGGTTGGAGAAGACACAAGAGTGTGTTGGTGTCACTTTGTTCTTCCAGTGTTGGCCGACTTCCTTAATTTTTCACCATGACAGAGAAAGAGAGAGAGAGAGAGAGAGAGAGAGAGAGAGAGAGAGAGAGAGAG